CATGTAATGTTTACAATGCTTTATACAAAACTAAAAAGTAATCTTTACCTATACTTTAATGGTTGTCGATACTTACACAATAGCTACTGAAAGTTCACAAACACATATAGCTCACCTGATATTTGTTTTATATACATTGCAGGAAATTCTAGAAAACCAGAGTCAAAATGCAAAACCGGGGAAGTTCCTTTAATGCCGAGTGGTTATTTTTTCAATACACAATGGAACCCTGCCAACTGTAAAAGTTATCTTCCAGAGTCCTCTTCTGCCATCAGCAAATGTCTGTCTGGTAAAATGATCTATTTCATGGGAGATTCAACATTGCGCCAATGGATTGAGTACATGCCAAAAGTCATAAAAAGTAAAGTGATCAAACTTAAATATTGAAAAAAAGAGTGTTGTGTAGTGGCATATAAATACCATTTAAAAATCAGCTTCCCTAAATTTAGTGTAGCCAGAATAAAAAAAGTTATGGTTATTGGCTCTCACTGTCGCTCCTCTGCTTGCTAAACCAAGTAATGGCAGAGGCACAAAGGCAACAAATCAGTGACCGTGCCTCACACAGAGCCATAGTGAACAGGTGGAGGTGGACAATAGGACATCAGCTGGTGGGTCCTGGATGCAACTGACAGGTAAGTATTTTTGTTGTGGATGGAGGAGCGGCTTGTAATGAGGATAAGCCAAGCAGCAATGAACCTATTTTGACTTATAGTGTATGATAAACCCTGACAATGAGCTTCTTTTAGTTGTTTCTCTTTAGTTCCACTTCCTGTGTTTTTTCAAGCAGTCTAATTAGCCCTCCTTGGAACTACAGACTAAATAGGGTAGGGGTGGGTTTTGGTAGTTTAGCAAAATAGTCCTGGGTCACTATAGCGATTGTTACAATCAATGATTACACTGAGCACCCTGGCTTGAGGGGAGGGGTTGATTGTCATGCTGTTGATTGTTGTGATGGAAAAGTCAGGTGAGGGGACACGGAGAGGAGAGAATATTATAAGCTCGGTTTTGGACAGGCTGAGTTTGAGTGATGGTGGTGTGACATCCATAATAATATGTCAGGGAGTAGATTAGTGATGTGTGAGGAGACAGAAGGGCTAAGCTGAGGAGTGGAGAGATAGATTTTAGTGTCGTCAGCATAGTAATGGCATTGGAAGCCATGGGAAGTTATCAAATAACCCATGGAGGAGGTGTAAATAGAAAACAGAAGCAGCCCAAGGACAGAGCTTTGGAGGACCTACAGAAAGAGGAAGAAGAGAGCAGGAGAATACCCAACATGTGCAAAGAATACCCAATCATGTGCACAGTATTTTTGCTTGCACTTGATTGGATGATGGAAGTTAACAGTTGAATGGAGCTTCACCCCATTCAAAAAGCTAAAGGAAAATGTTATTGCAAATTGAAAAGCCTATTTGTCTTTAATATATAATTCCCAAAGAATCAAGCATCTGTTGACCAGAGATGGAGCTTGGGTGCTTGGAAAGGTGAGCTGCAGGAATTTAACTTTTCCAGTTCCCTGGTTGCATACCTTCAATTGACCACCTTCTTTTTTGTTTTTATTTCAAAAAGTTTTTGGATATATGACAAAATATGTATTATAGTTTTATAGCTAAATTCATCTTTATTGGGGTTTTTTTCTACATGGAACCAAAAGATCCAATATAGGCGTGGAAATTCCAAAGAACATTGGCAGTGTTGATGTTCAGCAATGCAACAGTGAGTTTTAATTTTTTTAAATCCAAGGTTCTACAATGCCAATACATCTGTAGGTGTATCATTCCTCATTAGCAATGACTACCGTGTTTCCCCGAAAATAAGACAGTGTCTTATATTTTTTTTTCTACGAAAAAAGACACTAGGTCTTATTTTCGGGGGATATCTTACCTGGCTGCAGCTGTCCGCTCTGCCGTCAAGGGAGCCACAGACAGGTGGGCGGGCAGGAGGGCGTGCCTGGTGGGAGGGAGGGAGCTGCGGCTAGCGCTCTGATGCTGTCCAGGGAGCCGCTCTGGGTGCTCTGTCAGCCAATCGGAAGGCTTCTGGCAGTGTGTGTGGGGGGCCCTGTGCTGTGCTCGGCACGCATTGTGGTCAGGATGATGAAGAGCCGCTCGGCTCAGTAACGGTTTGGTGGGC